TCTCTGTCTCTTTCTGTCCTGTCTCTGTCCCTCTCCTTCTCTCTCTGTCTCTTTCTATCCTGTCTCTTTGTCCCTCTTCTTCTGCCTCTCCTTCTGTCTCTGTCTCTGTCTCTCAGGCAAGGGACCAAGAACAGGAGGCCGAGCGTGTGCAGACTCAGGCCCAGACCAGTCAGTGGCAAGAAGAAGCCCCCCGCCCTGAGCGAGACGGTACGGCCTGGGCTGGGGGGTGCTGGGGCTTCGTGAGCCCCCAGAGGGAGGGCCAGGGAGGCGGGCCCTGCGGACCATGGGGGCCACTGCCACTTCTCATCTTTGGCAGGCATGGCCTCTGGGCCCCTCCTGCTGCTGGATGCTCTGGGCCCGACGCCCCCTGGCCTGCCCAGCCCCGCCTCCACGCCTTCATCCTCAGAGCCAGCCCAGTGCCCAGTGGAGGCAGGTGGCGAGGAGGCCAGTGAGAGGCCCCCCAGCACCTCCCCAGAGGAGGAACCGGGCCCTGCGAGTCCCCCCAGGGCCGCTAGCCCTGAGGAGCCCCAGCCCCTGCAGGCCCCCCAGAGCCCAGGACCCTCCCTGGCCCAGTCTAGGGAGCACGTGCCAGTGCAGCTTCTGGGCAGCAACGTCCAGAGTGGCAAGGTAGGTGGCCTGGGGCGGGGGAGGGGGTGGTCAAGTCTGTCCCAGTGTGATTGCCTCCCCACCCCACCCCGACCAGTATTGACAGACCACCCTTCCCTGTCGAGGGGCGCCGTGACCTTGGTTGTGGGTGGGCAGCCTGGTCCTGGGGTGGCCCTAGCGGGGAAGGCCAGGGGCCTGGCAAACAGGGCCATCCGAGGCTACATTTCTCCTCAGCTGGGCCCAGGCCAAAGAGAGCAGGTGGCAGAGAGAGGACTCAGGACCCCTGACGCAAAGAAAGCTGGTAAGGAGTTGGGCCTTAGCTGGTCCCCCCACTGGCCCTGGGTAAGGGCCTTTGGAAAGTCCCAGGTGCCCGGGCTTCAGGGCCTTGCCCTGGGAGAGCCTGGGGGGCCACCTGGCTATGTGGCAGAGGGCCGAGGGGGGCCAAGGAGCAGTGCTTTGGGAGGGAAGGAGCTCCCCGTCCTGGAGGTCTCGAGGCAGAGGAGGCTGCCGTGCTGTTGAGGTGAGGGCTGGCGTGGACGGCCTCGGAGGTTCTCCAGGGTCTGTGGGGCGGTGCCTAGGAGGGAGGCTACAGCGTGGCGCCCTTGACCTGGGCCCCAGGCCAGCAGGCAGCTTCACCGCCATCCTGCAGCCTGCCGTCAGGGCCGGGAGATGGAGGGGCTGTTTATTCAAGCAACTGTACCTCCAAGCCTTGAAAGGGAAACCACGGCCTCCCGCATTCTTCTCCCCAATAAGGGCTGGGCCCCAGGCTCCCCACCCCCGATGCCCTCCTGGGCACTGGGCAGACATCTTCGGACCAGGAGGGGGCAGGGGCACCCTGCTGAGAAGCTGTCAGGCCAAGGCAGCCTCCTGGGGAAGCAATCTGGACTCAGGATCAGGGGATCTGGCTGTGCTCTGGGACTCAGTTTCCTCCTTTGTAAAATAAAGAGGTCAGACTAGGTCATCTCTCCAGTTCCTTCCAGATCTGAACTGGTGACCTTGTAACCTCGAGCCTTCCGTCACCAAAGCGTCTCGGGGCTGTTTGGGGGCTCAGAATACCCCTTGAGGAGTCTCCTTCCCTGGTGGAGGGTCCTTAGTCAGGGAGGGGGCCATGGGTTCAAGGCTCTAGTGGGCATCCCCCAGGTGCAACGTGGACCTGCCCTGCCCCCATCCTCCCTAGGGCCCAGGGGACCTGAGAGGCCATCTCATCTAGAGGGGGAAACTGAGGCACAGGGTGACCAAGTAGCACAGGGAAGAAGGATTGTAATGCAGGTCTTCTGGCTCCAGAGCCAGGGTACTTTCCATGACATCCCCTTCCATCCCGAGCACCCACATCTGAGGGGAGGAGGAGAGAGAACATGGCAGCTACTAGTGGGGAGGGGGTGGGGGGAGGGGACGGAGCCTCAGAAGGCTTCCAGATTGGGGGGAGGAGGGTAGAGGGGGTGTGGGAAGCAAGTGTTTGGGAGAAAGGAGGAGGAAATGTGTTTGGGTGTGTGAGTGAGGAGGAAGGAAGGAAGTGTGAGAGGATGGGGGGGTGTGAGTGAGTATGTGTAAGGGGGAAGGAAAGAATTGTGAGAGTGTGCACGTGTGTGTTAGAGTGAGTGTGTAAAGGGAAGGAAGGAGGTGTGAGGATGGGGTGTGTGTGAGTGTGTAAGGGAAAGGAAGGAGGTGTGAGGATGGGGACATGTGTGTGTGAGTGAGTGTGCAAGGGGAAGGGAGGAGGTGTGAGAGAATGGGGGCATGTGTGTGTCAGTGTGTAAGGGGAAGGAAAGAATTGTGAGATTGTGTGTGTATAAGAGTGAGTGTGTAAGGGGAAGGAAGGAGGTGTGAGAGGATGGGGGCATGTGTGTGAGTGTGTAAGGGGAAGGAAGGAGGTGTGAGAGGATGGGAGCATGTGTGTGAGTGAGTGTGTAAGGGGAAGGGAAAAGGTGTGAGAAGACTGGGGGGCTGTTGGGGGTGCTCGGGGTGGCCCTATGGGAAGGGCCAACACTGACCGCTCACTGGCTGGCTGCCACACCCCCCCCAATGGCTTTCCCCTCTCTTCCTGGCATGCATGTGGCGCCACCCCCTACTCTGGCTTCTCTCGCGGCATGGGCATTGGCAGTGCCCTCTCTCCATCAGCCCGGCCTCACTGGCCTCCCCAGCCCGTGCTCCTGCCAACGCTCTCTGTCGCTGCTCACCCCCCGCAGGGCTCAGGCTCCAGGTAGCACTCACTTCCTCCCGCCTTGAGGATCTGGGATTCGGGTGGGGAGGGGGCACATCACGGCCGCTGGCCCTCAGTGGCCTCCCCCACCGTCCCACCCCAGGGATGCCCCAGGGGGGTGTTGCACCCATCTTCATCAAATGTCCCCGGGGGCAAAAGCCCTAGTGGTTCTATCTGGCCCCCTGACCTCACCTTCCCTACTTCTGAATCTCCCTCCCAGACTTCCCCAAGGCCAGCCCCTCCCCTTTCCAGAGGGCCAGCTCTGTCCGCGACCGGGTCCGCAAATTCACATCCTCTGAGTCACCTGCCCCCCCAGGGGCCCGGGCCCCCCAGCAGCAACGGCTCCTCAGCTCTGGGGACCGGGCAGCCCCAGGACCCCTCCAGCCAAGTTACCAGCGCCCTGGACTCACAGGCAGTGTGAAAGCAGAGCCGGGCCCTTCCTCCTTCTCCCTCATCACCTCCAAGATCACCAGCAGCAGCACCCGCACCTCCTCCTGGCAAGGAGAGCCCCAGATTGTCAGAGTGGGGGCCAGGGATCGGGATTGCCCTAAAGAGGAGGGCCCAGGGGGGCGGAGCCTGGCCACGTCACGGGGGAGGCCCCTTGAAAACGGAGAGAGGGGGCCCCCGCCGGGCTCAGAGGAGCCCAGCACCCTGCCCGTCGCTGCCAGGCAGGCTGAGCAGGGCAGCCGGACCCCGCAACCCCGAACTGCTGGGGAGACCAGCATGAAGACCACCTTCACCATCGAGATCAAGGATGGCCGAAGCCAGCCCGTCAGCAGCCGGGTGCTGGGCCCCGTGGGCAACCAGAGGGCAGGTGGGTGAAAAGGAGCCTGGGGTCAGAGAGGCTTGGGCTGTCTGGGGAGAGGCAGGGGCGAAAACCTGCCCCCCCACAGCCTCCGGGTGACATCTCGGGGTGGAGCTTTTCTGTTCTTGCCCTTCTCCGTGGGTCTTTCCTCTGGCATCTCTGCCCAGGCAACAGACAGCCTCTTCCCAGCCAACTGGCACTGGGTAGGCACAGCCTTCCGGGGTTGTGGGAGTCCAGGCCTGGCTCCTTTGAACCTGAGCTCGGCCTGGAGGCGGGGGTCCAGGGTGGGCGGGGATTGGGGACGTCTTTTCTGTCTCCCCAACCTGGAGGCACTGACCTAGAGGGTGGGAATCAGGAGGGCACCCTCCTCCATTCTGATTAAGTCTCCCACCTCCACAGAGCTGACGCTGGGGCTTAGGGGCACCCCCGTCCACTTTGGCAGTAGCAGCACCGGTGTGGGCACCATCAGGCACGTCAGCACCCCCGGGACCGTCAGGCACGTCGGCACCCCCGGGACCATAACACACGTCAGCACCCCCGGGACCATCAGGCATGTCGGCACCCCCGGGACCATCACTCATGTGGGCAGCACCAGACATGTCTCCAGTGTGGGTCACACCAACAAGGTGAGGGCCTTGGTCTGTTCCATGTTCCCTCGGGAGAACCTGGGGCTGTTAAGCCCGGGATGGGGGCCGGGGCGGGAGAGCTGTCAGCCTGGGTCTGCATGCACAGCCCCAGGGGGCCGAGCCAGGACTACCCCGCAGAAGTTACAGAGACAAACCTTCCTACCAATGAGAGCTGGGCCCGAGGGTCATGGTGCGGGGCTTGCGGGCATGCTGGGTGGCAGTGGGCTAAGATAGCCCTCAGCCTGCTGTCAATGTGGTGACCCCCTGAGAGTGGGGGCCACCAAGCTGCCTCAGGGGGCCCAGGTCAGACCTTGGAAATGGGCGGATAAGTGACCCAGGCTGCCCTTCCAGCCTGGGCAGGATCAGGAGACCCAAATGCAAAAAAAAAAAAAAAACAAAAACCCAATGGTTTGAGCTTGCGGGATAGGTAGTGAGCTCCCCGCCATTGGAGGTCTTCCAGCAGAGGATGCCTACTTGTCAGGAGTTCTTGTCCAGGCACACCCTGAGGGCCAATGCACTCTCCCTTCCCTTCTTCCTCATCCTCTTAGGCACTTTCCCCTTCCCTCGAAATCAGGAAATTCCTGCATCCCAAACCTATCTGAGATCTTCACTAGCTATGTGAGCATGTCCACAGCATTTCCCCTCTCTTGGCCTCAGTTTCCGCCTCCATAAAATGGGTTCAAAATACTTGCTCTCCTGCCTTCAACAAGTTCTTGTTAGAAAAGCGCTTTGGAAGTCTTGTTAGGGGTGCTGGAGAATTAGGGGTCCTTCTTGCTGAGGAGTGCTGGAGGGGCCTCCCAGGCCCTGGGCCTCTTGTTGGGGCCCCTCCAGGTGGCCCCACTGGGAAAGGAAGCAGCTTCATCTCAGCTAATACCCGGCTGGGCCCACAGGGAGGGATTAGGATTAGGAGATGAGCTCTGGAGTCCCAAGGGGGGGTGTTGGGCAGGAGCAGCAGTTGGGAAGAGGACCCTGGAGCCGGTGAGGCCGGCCGGGCTGGGTTGGGGGGGGTGGCACACGCGCCTCGAGCGGCAGGTGCCGTGGGAACTGTATCCTCTGGGCCCCTTCATTATTCACGAGCCAGGATCGGCTCCCTGGGGTTCCTGCTGGGAGACGGCCGGACCCCACACAGGCAGGGAACGGCCGTCTGGCAGGATCTCGGGCATTCGGTCAGGTAATGCCCTCTGGCGATCCAGGTAGCTTGAGGCCGCCGAGGAGCCGCCTGAGATCTGGCCCTTTGAGCTGCCCCCACCCTGGGAGCCCTGGGAGGCTTGAGCCTGGGGTCTCTAGTGGGGAGAGGCCTGGAGGCAGGCCATCCCAAACTCCTCCATCAGAGGGGTTCAAGCGGCATCCTGAGGGAGGGGAAAGAACCCAGGGTCCTCCTTAGTGGCTGTGTGACCTTAAACAAGTCGCTGAACTCTGGGGCCCCACTTCCTCCCCCAGCCTGGCCGAGGCCTCCGAGGGGCTCTCCCAGCCCCCGATCCTCTGCTCTTCTGCTCTGGGTGGTGGCCTCGGGCCACCTGTCCCTCTCCCTCCCCGCTGACCTCTGTGTGCTCCTGCAGGGGAAACCCTTGGGGTCCTGCCAAGAGTTGGGGGAAGGGGATGGAGGCTCATGAGCCAGGGGCCAGGAGGCTGGCATCTGCTGGGGCCCACGCCACACCCCTCCACCCCCCCCTCCCCACAGGGACAAGAATAGGTTTCTCTTTGGAAACAAAAGCCCCTGCCGCATTAGGAGCCAGTCTGGGACCGGGGCGGGGCGGGGCGGACCGGGCCGGCTGCCCTTGCCCTCGCCCTCCGCCTGCCCTGCAGAGCTGACTGTGGCTTCGGCCTGGGAGGCAGGATGCCGGGGGTGGCCGGGGCTGGCCCCTCGGGGCCCGGGGCAGCCCTGGCCTCGCAGCTAGAAGAGCGGCTGACCCAGGCCCTCCAGCAGCTGCGGCAGGAGGTGGAGGGTGGGCAGCAGGCGGCCGCCCAGGCTGCCGAGGCCGCGGTGGCAGCCGTGGAGCCCGTGGCCCGAGCAGCCCGGGAGCTGCAGAAGGAGACGGCTGCCCTCCGAGGGCAGCTGGAGCGCCTGAGCCTCCAGCTGGAGGCCCTGAGCCTCCGGCTGGGGCTGCCCGACCCCAGCGCCCTCCTCCTAGCCGCTGAGGACCCCGAAGCCCTCTTCCAGGGGGTGGAGGATGAGGAGGGGCCCGAGGCCACCCCCGTGGCCCACCCCCCTGCCTTCAGCACCCGGCGCCTGTCCTCAGTGCCTTTGTCCCATGGCAACAGCCTCGTGAGTTGGGAGAAGGCCGGAAGGGTGGGAGGTGGGAGAAGGACGGTGGTCCCTGGGAAGGGGGAGGGGAGAAAAGTGCCAGCGGAGGCCAAGGGACAGAGACAGGGCACTCAGTAAGGGGGTCTTCCAGGCCCTATCCTGAGGAGCCGAGGCAATAGCAGGGCGTCCGGCCTCCCGGTGTGTAAAGCCCAGCACAGAGGGCTAGAGCTCAGTCTAGAGGGCCTTGGGAGCCTGCCCTGTTGCTGCTGGACTTTGAGTAAGCCCCCTGTCCTCACTGGGCCTCAGTTTCCTTCTGTCCAATTGGAAGGGGTCCGATAGAAGGTCTCTAAGAGTCCTGCCTGCTCAGTGGCCCAGGTCGGGGAAGGGGGAGACGCAGTGGCCGGCCCCTGCTTAGCAAGAGCCCGGTTTGGGCTCAGGAGCTCCTGCTTGGGGGGAGGGCACTAGAGAGGGGAGGACGGGCGCCGTGCATGGCCTTGACGAGGCTTATCGCTGGCTGAGCCGGGAGGAGCAATGTCTGTCTGGAGAGGTTTGGGGTGCAGGTGTTGGCTGGGAGGCCCAGGGCTGGGGTGAGTGGGAGAGCACGGGGGGAGGGGCCTCCTGGAGACAGCTGCTGCGGGTCTTCTTACGCCGAGAGAGGCCCTGCCAAGGCAAGGAGGGAGGCTGGACGGAAGGGTCGAGGGCAGAAGGCCCAGGCCCCATGCCTGCCATGCCCTGCCCTGCAGGGGTACTCCCTCCCCTCCTCCTGCCCAGCTCCCTCCCCCCATTGCTAGCCTTAGCCCAGGGCCGGGCCAGAGCTGGGCCAGAGCTGTCCTCGAGGAGCAGGGCCCTCCTGGAAAGCCAAGGCAGAGCCAGGAGTGTGGGCCAGAGCCCAGCCCCTCCTCCGGGTGATTGGGTGGGGCCTGGCACAGCTGCTCTGCCCCCAGGCCCACCCACCCCCGTGCCTGGAAGTCACCCAGGACATTCCAAGACCCCAGGGGCTCAGCCAAGTTGAGAGAATGAGTGGGTTGTGGGACTGGCTCAGAATCAGAAGCCTGGGGTTGAGTGTTGTGACCTCAGGCACCTCTCTTTCTTCTCTGGGCCTCAGTTTCCTCCTCTGTCATCATCCTTATGCTCCCTATCTCACGGAGCACACTGGGCTCTAGGAGCCCAATCAGTCAGAAAGCATTTGTTGGCACCTACTAAGGTGCCAGGCACCATACTGGGTACAGATGGAGGCGAAGGCTGCGCGGCCTATGCAGACAGTGGAATTCAGGAAGACCCGAGTTCCAATCTGGCCTCAGACACCTCCTAGCTGTGTGACCCTGGCCAAGTCACTTCACCTCTGTCTACCTCATCTATAAAATGGGATAATAACAGCACCTCCTTCCAGGGTTGTGAAGATCATAGGTGATCCTCCTGAGCTCTATGGTTATGATTCTCATTAACTATGAGATGCTCTGTGCATGGTGATCACCATCCACGGGAGAAAGGGCCTCCTATTTACTGAGGAGGAGGAGGAAGGTCAAGCCCAGAGAGGCAGAGCTGGGACTCAGGTCTCAGGCCCCAGGGCCCAGCTGGTGCCCCTCTAACCCAGGCCTGTCCAGTCTCTGCTTGGAGATCTCCGAGGAAGGCAATCCTCCACCTTTCGAGGCACGCTCATTCTACTTTCTAATTGTTATTGCGATTGTATGAGGGGGTCTTCCTTAGGGAGAGCCAGCATCTGCCTCCTTTTGACTCCTGCCCCCTATCCATCACCCCCACTTCTGTCCTGGCGGAATGAGGCTGATCCCTCCACATGGGAAGGGTCTCTCGGGTACTCAAGGACGGCCACAGGGCCTCTCCCCCTCCCCGCCCCCGTCTTCTCCAGTTCCTTCAGCCAAGCCTCCTCTGGCAAGATCTCAACACTCTCCACCATTTTGGTCTCTTCTTCCCTTTCCTCTGCACCCGGCATCGTCCCTGTCTGTAAAATTGGGGGCTGGCTGAGCCGGGCTTTCTGGCTCCCGTATCTTTTGATCCCTCCCGTGAGCCTCGGATTACCATTGTCTGGGGTGGAGGAGCCCGGCTTGTTGTCAGGGCCCAGAGAGGGGGGTCCAGGTGAGCCAACCTCTCCTTCTCAGGCCCTCCATGGATGAGTCAGACTGGGCCCAGATTGCAGCCCCCGCTCTAGGCGACCAGGCAAGAGTGGGCTTGGTGGCCCTCAGTGTCCTGCCCGGCGATGGCTGGGTTAGCCCCAGCCCCAGCGCCTCTGTTCAGCAGAGGCAAAGGCCGCCCAGGGTGGGGGGCCCACAGCAGTGCCAGAGCCTGGCTGTACTCTAGAAATCTTTGGCGATTCTGTTCAGCCGCCCAGATTGCGGTCCCCTGTTGGGTTGGCTTCTAGTGCCTGGGGCTTTCTCCCCATTTGGAGTTTGTGGTTTGGTCTCTTGGGCAACCATACTGGAAGGAGGGGCAGGCAAGGTCCTTTACATCACCGGCCATGTCCCTCCTCCACTCCCTATTGACTGTTGGGTCAAATACGTACCCCTCTGGTGGGCATTTAAAGCCCTTCATGGTTTGGCTTCAGCCTACCCGTATCCCGCCAATGTTCCAGCCCGACTTTCTGGTCACCGGACACCACCTTCATGTCTGGGATGTGCTCACGCGCCATTCCTTCAGGTCGTCTTAGCACCTCCCCTCCTCCCCCTCTATCCCCCTGTCTCCAAATGGCCTCGTGGATTTTGATTGCAGAGTCTGCATTTGCTTCTCTGTTTGTGTTCCCAATAGACTGTAAGCCCCTTGAGGGCAGGGACTGTTTCATTTCTGTCTTTGCATCCAAGGCGCCCAGCATACAGTAGGCACTTGATAAATGCTAGTTGATCGATTGGTTGTCCCTCCCCGGTCTCTTTCCATGGAAGATGGATGCCGAGGCAGTGGTGGAGACCCCCACCATGGTGGAGCTGGCAGTGGATGTGGCCAATGGCATGGAGAAGAGCCGGCCAGGGAAGGAGCCGGAGCCCCGGCCTCAGAGCAAGCTGCGCCCAGAGGAGCTGGCTGCCATAGAAGACGAGACTGTCCTGGACAGGATGGTACAGACAAGGCTGGGGTGGGGGCCGGGAGGAAGGGCCGTCTGGGAAGGCGGGGACATAGGGAGGAGTCAGCCCTGGACTGCCCCCCCACAGCTGGACCAGACCACAGACTTTGAGGAGAGGCGGCTGATCCGGGCTGCCCTTCGGGACCTCCGGCAGAGGAAGAGAGGTATGGGCCAGACTGGGAAGTGGGGAAGAGGAAGGGGGAGGGGGTGCTGCAAATGACCACGGTAGGGGTCATCCTGCCGGGCCAGGACCACCCAGCCCGTTTCCCCAACTTCTCACTGTTGGTCTCCCTGGTCTTAACAATGCCCTCCAACCCCAACCATAACCGTTGGCGGGCTTTCTGCACCCCCTACATGCTGTGGCTCCCACTTAGCCTCCCTTCCACCTCCAGATGCAGCTCCCGTCCTTCAGCCCTCGCGTCTTCATTCCCTAGCTTCTCCCTCCCGACCTTTAGTGATCCCCACCTTGCTGGTCAGTCCCTGGCCCCGGCCCCTGGCTCCAGGGAGGAGCTGAGGACCCTTGAAGCAAATGCCTTGTTCCTAACAACCTGCCCTCCCCAACCTTGTCTTGTGTGTCTGTGGGTGTCCCTGCGTGTCCCGCCTGGGTGCTATGTGTGTGTGTGCATGCACACGGCCCCCTCCAGACCAGCGGGACCGAGAAAGGGAGCGGCGTCTCCAGGAAGCCCGGGCACGGCCAGGGGAGGGCCGGGGCAGTACCGCCACAGAGACCACCACTCAGCAGAGCCAGAAGTCGGCTGACGGCTCAGCTGTGAGGACCGTCACCAAGACGGAGCGGCTCGTCCACTCTAGTAAGGGTCCAGGAGTGGGCAGCAAACACCAGACCTGAGCTCTCCTGACTCTTCTGGGGGTGGGCCCTCAGAAGCCATCTAGGACAACCCCTTCTCACTTTAAGGAGGAGGAAACTGAGTCCCAGAGCAGTTAATGACTTGCCCAAAGTCAGACTAGTAATGTAGCAAAGCTGGAATTCACAGCCAGGTGCTCTAACTCCACTGTGTCTAATGCATGACCTCATCTGACTCTAACAATTTCTACTCTTTCCTTCCTTCCCCAGACTCTGGGTGTCAGAGCTGGGGAACAGGGACTGTTAGAGCTAGGAGGGGACTTAGGACAGAGAAAGTCAGGGGCGGGAGGAAGCTTAGACATGACCTGCCTGCCTCAGTTTCCCTTCCTGGAGGGCAGACACTCTCATCTCAAGCCATCCCCTGCCTCTGTAATGGGGGATAGAAAAGAGGGCCCCCGGCAAGGTAGATGTCCTCCCATAATTCCCACTGAAGAGCCCTTTTTGGTGTCTCCGCCCCCCAGGCGATGGCAGCCAGACCTCCCGGACCACCACAGTGGAGTCAAGCTTTGTGAAGCGATCTGAGAGTAAGGCCTGGCCAGCCGGCCCCCACCGGCCTTCCTCCGGCTCTCCGTCCCTGACCTTCTACCTGTCTGTCTGCCTGTCTGTCCGGACACTGTCCTGATCACTCTGCTTTCTGTCTTCTCTGCTGCCCCTCAGCCACTCCCTTTGAGGCTGTCCATCCCCAGGGCCCCTCAGACCCTCACCACCACCCCCTTTTACCTCCTACCAGATGGCGGCAGCAGGACTGTGGTCCAGACCAAGTCTTTCAGTTCATCCAAGAAGATGGGCAGGTGAGGAGAGTCCAGACAGATTGCTGGGGGGCCAGGGGCTTGAGCTGAGGTGGGGAGAGGTCCTGGTCACAGTGGACAGTGTCTCCTCATAAGAAGAGTTCTGGGTTCAAATCCTGACTCTTACTCCACTATATGACCTGGGTAACCTAGGACCTCAGTAACATGAAGGGGTTCCAGCAAGGCATAGAGGAAAATGGGATGCGTTCATAGGAATACTCTGCTGCTTGCTAATGACTATGCGATGTTGGGCAAGCCCCTTCCCCTCTCTGGGCCTCAAGTTTCCTTATCTGTAAAATGAAGGGGTTAGTGGACTCCCTAGCCTCTAGTGCTCCCTCTTACACGCCCCTTCTCTGAAAGCATCTTTGACCGTGAGGATGAGACCGCGTCGAGGGCTGGCAGCCTGGCGGCCCTGGAGCGGCGCCAGGCGGAGAAGAAGAAGGAATTGATGAAGGCCCAGAGCCTGCCCAAGACATCCGCATCCCAGGCCCGCAAGGCTATGATCGAGAAGCTGGAGAAGGAGGGCGGGGGCGGAGGCGGGTGAGGCTGAGAGGAGGTCAGGGCTGGGGGCGGGGGGAACAGACCCGGGGGGGGGGGGGGACGACATTTCCTGATGTTTCCTGACCCGGTGGTGGGCTCTCTCTTCACAGCAGCCCTGCTGGCCTACGGGGGACCGTACAGCGCTCTTCCAGCTTCGGGGTCCCCAACGCCAACAGTATCAAGCAGATGTTACTGGACTGGTGTCGAGCGAAGACCCGAGGCTATGAGGTGAGTGAGCAGCCCCTTCCTGGCACCCAGAGCAGCCCCCAGGCACCGAGGCCGACGAGCAGAGTTAGAGGCAGAAGGGACCTCGGAGGCCATTGCGTGGAGTCTGGCCCCTTGTGTTCCCAGAGAGGAAACTGAGGCTCTAAAGAATGGACAGGGTGACCGGTGCTGGTCAGGGCTAGGGCCGCAGCCCGGTTTTAAAACTAGAGACCATGCACCTTCTGCAGCACCTCAGCTGCCTCAGCCATGAGATAAGGAATTTGGGCCGCATGTTCAACAGGGCTCCTCCTATCTGTGACATCCCCTGTTCTCAGACCCCTCCCAGCCCCCTGACATCCCCTGTTCTGAAGTCTCTCCCAGCCCTGACATCCCCTGTTTTAAGGTTCCTCCCAGCTCTGACATCCCCTGTTCTAAGTCTCCTAGCCCTGACACTCCCTGTTCTAAGGCCCTCTCAGCTCTGACATCCCCTCCCCTCTCTGACAGTCTCCTTAGTGGGTCTGTTTCTCAGGCATGAGAAGGCCCTCAAGTCTGGAGCCAGCTGGAAACAGTAAAAGCCTCCAACAGCCAAGAACATTCAGTCCCCCGGGGCCTGGGATGATTAGCTCTGTCTAAAAGCCAAATCCTATTACATGGGGCCCCCAGGGCTCCCAGGGTTTGGGCTTGGAGTGTAATCTTCCTGCAGTCGTAAAAATACTTTTATATTAATCCCATTAAAGTCTGATTATACCAGTGTCTCCTGAAGGCCGGCCATGGCAGCAACCCTGGGGGGCCAGATGGACGGCTGCCCCCCCACGCCCACTCCCATTTCACCCAGGGTCACTCTCCCCATTAGACTCGGAGCTCCTAAGGGGAGGGGCTGGCTTGCCTCTCTTTTGCAGTGCCAGGCATACAGTAGGCACTTAGTAAATGCTTGTGGTTGACTGACCGACTGACCACAGTCACTTCGAGTCAGGACCCTGGAGGCTCTTTCTACACCAAAGCTGCCTCTTTGGGCCCCTCTGATCCCTGGCCAGGGCCTCAGAGGTCATCTAGACCAAAGCCCTCTCACTTAAGGACAAGTGAGTTGTTCAAGGTCGCACAGATAATAAGTGGCCCAGCCAGAATTCAAACTCATGTCCTCTAACTCCTTTCCCCATGCCCCGCTTGGCCTCTGCCATCCTGGGTTGTCCAGATGTCAACTTTGGAAGTCCTTTGACTCAGAAGGGAGACCTGAGACTGAGATCCAAGGATCCCAAAGCATCCATGGTGTCTCTGGGCTTTCTGGACCCTCAGTCTCTTTGTCTAGGTGCCCGGGGCCTTCCTGCATGGAATCTGCCCAGGCAACCTGCTTCCTTGTCTCCTCTAATAGGCAGAGACTCCCTTCTACCTCTCTTTGTACTCCCAGGGCCTAGGACAGGGCCTGTGCTGCACATAGTAGGTGCTTAAACATTGCTTGTTGATTGATTGAATAATCTCCAAGATTCAAAAGGATATTGATAGGAGAGTGAGTCTAATGGAATTATAAGGATATAATAAGGAATAATAATAATAATTCACTAGGAAGAAACATACACATCCTTACCTTGGGTTCCAAGATGGGGAGGCTCAGCTAGACAGTTATGGTTCTGGAAAAGATTTGGGGGGGTCTTAGTGGATGGTAAACCCCATAGGAGCCAGTGGGGTGATGGAGCAGGTTGATTAGAGCTGAGAGTTCCCCCAACCTCTGCCTGGTTAGACTTTATCTGGAGTACTGGGACCTGTCCTGGCCCCATGGGCTAAGGACGGGCCGGAGAGCGTCCACTGAGGGCTGGCCACACAGTAAAGGGGCTTGAGTCTGTGTCACCTGGGACTCCGTGGAAGGATCTGGGGGAGGGCGCTAGTTGGCAGCAGAGAAGCCTTAGAGAGGGGCTGTCTGGTGGAAGGCTCATCTCCCCTTCCTCGTCCCCCTGTTCTGATGGGGGCGTCTCCCCCTCCTCGTCTCCCTGTTCTCACGGGCGCCTCCCCCCTCCTCACCCCCCTGTTCTGATGGGGGCATCTCCCCCCGCCTGTCCCCTTGTTCTGATGGGGGCACCTCCCCCCTCCTCATCCCCTTGTTCTGATGGGGGCGTCTCCCCCCTCCTCATCCCCTTGTTCTGATGGGGGCACCTCCCCCCTCCTCATCCCCCTGTTCTGATGGGGGCATCTCCCCCTCCTTGTCTCCCTGTTCTGACGGGTGCCTCCCCACTCCTTCTCGCCCCCCCAGCACGTCGACATCCAGAACTTCTCGTCCAGCTGGAGTGACGGCATGGCCTTCTGCGCCCTGGTGCACAATTTCTTCCCCGAGGCCTTCGATTATGGCCAGCTGAGCCCCCAGAACCGGCGTCACAACTTTGAGGTGGCCTTCTCGTCAGCAGAGTACGTAGCCCAGCCCCCGCTGGTTGTCACCGGCCCAGAGTGTGGAAGCCGAGGTGTGGGGGGTGACCAGGTCGAGGCCGCCTGTGGGCCCCCCAGCTGGAGACAGGCAGCCTGCCCCTGCCCTGGCCCTGCGTGGGCAGAACAGATCCCCCCCGCAGCTTCCCTGCCTTCTCCATCCTTCTGCCAGGCCCGGAGCCCTGGGCCTCCCCAGCTCGCTTTCTGCTGCTCTTCCAGTCCCCAGGCCAGGCCAGGACGGGCTGAGGCCCCCCCAGGGCCTCGGCATTCCCCCCAGCCCCCAGGACTTTGAGGAGCAGGGACAAAACGTCCCTGTTCCCACCCTGACTCCTTCCGGCCTTTGCTGCCCCTCCCCCTTGGTCCCTTTCCTCCAGTACTGAGGCTTCTGTCCCCCACCTCGATGGGGGGCCAGCATTTTCTCCAGTCTGTACAGGGGGCTTCCAGCCGGACAGTAGGAGCTTTGGGCCTGGGCCACGCTTGCCCGGCCTCGACCGTCCGACCAGCCCCATCCGTGGCCCGCTCGCCAGGTGGCCCCCTCCCTGCCCCTTTCCTCCTCTCTCTCCTCCTCTGTCTCTCTCTACCTTTTCCTTCTGTCCCCCGAAGCTTTCTGCACCCCTGTGTCCACTCATTGTGCCGGCCCGAGATTCCAAATGGAGCCAATGGGCTGGGAGGGGGGCCACGCCGGCCCCCTCGCCCTCCCTTTTCCCTGGGTCTATATACGCCGGATATATAGCAAAGAGAGCAAGACTGCTCTTGTTTGGAATCATCTGCTGTTGAAGCACACGGCCCCTGGCCCGCTCTGATCACACCTCACCCCAACCTGACCGTTCCCTTTCCTGCCCATGAGCCTGGATGTTTTCTCTGGCCCTTCTCTTCCCCTCCCCCTCCTCCCCCACATCCTCTCACGCCTCCCTCCCAGCCTCACTCACCCCCATGCCCACCCTGGGGGTAGAGGGGGGCACCGCCCCTTTGTCCTTCCCCAGCCCTCCCTCGGAGCCCTGCCCCCTGCACCTGGTGCCTGGCCCCCCACCCTGCGCCCTCCCCCACTAGCCCTGTATGCATCGCACACCAGTAGAGGACAGTAGCACCCCCCCAGCCCGGAGAGCATGCGGGGGGTGGCGTGGGCTGACCCCAGCAGCGCGTGGAGAATGTCACCGGATTTACGGATCTCTCTTTCTGTTTCTCTCTCTCCCCCCCTCCCCCTCCTCTCTCTTCCCTCTGTCCTCACCCCTCCCCTCTGCCCACCCCGGTCGGGTGTGTCTCCGGCGGGGCTGGCTGTGTGCCCCCACACCCCAGGACCCACGCTGACTGCCCCCAGTTGCTGGACACAGAGGACATGGTGAGGATGCGTGAACCAGACTGGAAGTGCGTTTACACGTACATCCAGGAGTTTTACCGCTGCCTGGTTCAGAAGGGGCTGGTAAAAACCAAAAAATCCTAACCCCCCAGCTGAGAGACCCACGGTGAGAAAGCCTTCCCAGCCCAGCCCTGCTCCAGGGAGACAGCAGGGCTTGGGGGGGAGGGGCACCTGCGGTGGAGGGAAGAGGGAGGGGGCCTTCCTCTGGCCACGGGATGCCTGCGAAGGGGGAGGGAGCTAATGCCAGCATCACTGGAAGCCAGACCTGGCAGGGCTTGGACATCCAGGGTCCCTGACTAAGAATGCCAAAGCCGGGAGGGAGCTTAGAACAGGGAATGTCAAAGCTGGGAGGAGCTTTAGAACAGGAAATGTCAGAGCTGGGAGGGGCCTTAGAACAGGGAATGTCAGGGCTGGGAAGGGCCTTAGAACAGCAGATGTCAGAGCTGAAAGAATCCTTAGAACGAGAAATGTCAGTGCTGAAAGGGGCCTTAGAACAAGGGATGTCAGGGCTGGGAAGGGCCTTAAAAGAGGGGATGTCAGAGCTGGTAGGGCCTTAGAACAGGGAATGTCAAAGCTGGGAGGGGCCTTAGAACAGGGAATGGCAGAGCTAGGAGAGGCCTTAGAACAAGGAATGTCAGGGCTGGGAAGGGCCTTAGAACAAGAGATGTCAGAGCTGGGAAGGGTCTTAGAACAGGGGATGTCAGAGCTGGGAGGGGCCTTAGAACAGGGGATGGCAGAGCTAGGAGGGGCCTTAGAACAGAGGATGGCAGAGAGGGGAGGGGCCTTGCAGATCATCTCTTCCACCCTTCTCCTTTTCAGAAGATGGGGCTGTAGGGAGAACTTGCCCAGCCCCACATCCAAATAGTGACAGGTTTGAGACTAGAAACCCCATGTCTGAGGGATCCAGGGCTGGCCCGAGTGCTAAGGGAGAGTAGGGAGAAGCTTTCTCAAGGGGACAGGGCCAATGCCCTCCCACCCCCATTTTTCCAGATGATGAAACAGATCCAGAGAAGGATTTGGCCTGGCCATGGGCACATGATGAAATGTTGAGGGCAGATGAAGTGGGCAGAGCAGAGGTGCCCCCTGAGGCCCCAGCCCTGGGTTCTGAGGCGCCTTGGGGTCAGAGGGTGGAGGCCTCCCCCATCTTTGGCGGGCTGCTGAGGCAGCTGTGGGCGTGGGCGGTGAGCTCCCATCACCAGGAGACTTGGGAGTGGCCAGGGTGCACCTGGGATGAGGGCTCACCTGTCCTGGGCAGGCTCCCCAGGCCGATGCCACGGCCACCCACCCCCGGAGGCTGGCCCCACCACTGCTCTCTGTCATATATGGACAGGGTAGCGGGCCCTCGGGGAGCTGTGTAAACCCTGGAAAGTGTGACTCAGCCCCAGGCCGCCTGACGTCTGTTGCTGTTTGGCTCTCCTCACTAAGGGCATCCCGAGCCCAGAGCCTATGCTCCCCAGGCCTCCCAGCATAAACAATGGCTTTATAAGGCTGAGAGGGAAGACTTGTGCGAGCCAGGGAGGCAGGGGCCAGGGGAGACTCCCAGGACAGACCGGACTCGGAACCTTGGGAAAGGAGGGGGCAGGGTCACATCCACAGCCAGCTGGAACGGGGAGGTTTTCGGCTCCAGAGCGCTATAGCTGGGAGGGGTCTTAGACCTTCCCGTTCTTTGGCGGGGGAAAAGAAGCCTGAAAGGGCCTCCTATGTGCCGGCACGGTGCTAAGTGCTTTGCAGATATTACCTCAGTTGAGCTCGGGAGCCTTAGAACAGGGGATGTCAGAGTTAGGAGGGCCCTCAGAACAAGGAAAGTCAAGGCTAGGGGAGGAGCCTGAGAATACGGAATGTATGTTAGTTTCCGAAGCTCCTTCATGTAAAAGATGCAAGAAACTGAGGCATCCAATGAGGATGTGATTTGACTGCCATCTCCCAGCAAGTTAGTAGCAAAGCCTGGCCTAGAGGCCAGTTCTGGTTCTGGGCCCAGGCTCTCTGCTCCAGCACTCTAGGGCAGGGCTCTGGTCCCTTTTCTTCCTTGTCATAGGTCAGGAGCCCTCTTCTTGCCCCATGGCCCTGCCTCCTGCTCTGCCCCCAGCTGGGCTCCTGAATCAGACCCCGCCCCCAGCTTGTACCCTGTCCCCCTCCACCCTGCAGGACCAGAAGCTGCCTGACTGTGCCACCCGCAGCCCTCGAGTCCAGGGTCACCCCTCTGCCCCGGGCTTCCCTGGCTGGGTGTGAGCCTTCAGGGAAACAAAGCAGAACTGGCCTTCTGGGAGCTGGAGAGCTCTCGTCTGCTAGGGCCAGGGGGGCCGAGAGTTAGGCCTGCTGGCGGACCCAGCCCAAGATGGAGCCATTCCAGAAAACCCACCGGCTCAAGGGGCATACTTGGGGCCTCACAGACAGCTCTGGGGCCTGGCTTCCCTGGAAGTGGCTCCGGTCTGCCATCGGTGGTAGCAGGGAGAGACAGCCCCTCTCCCCTGCCCAAGACCTTCTGACCAGGAGAGGGAACTGAGGCCCGAGGGGGCCCCACAGGCACTGCCACACTCTAACTCAATACAAGCTCAGTTGCTTAGCAACGGTTGAGTCCCCAAACAAAGATAAACACACGTCCTCACACTGTTGATTGATTTACCAGAGGACAGCCGGGTCTGGGACCTATTCCCAAAGAGGGTGATGGGTGTCCTGGGCCAAGAGTCAGGAGATGTGGGTAATTAGTCCTCCATCTGCCACTAGCTCACTGTAAGTGTTGGCCAGTGCCCTTGCCCTTCCTCAGCCCTAGTTTTAGCTTGTTAAATGGATTCGGGGTTCCTGTAAGCTCAGACGCTTCAGCTTCCTGGGCCTCATTTTCCTCATCTGTAAAATAAGGAGGGTCTAAGCTCCAGAGCTAGGAACGTGAAGTGCCACACGACCGTTGTTCCATCATTTGGTCATGTCCGACTCTTCACGACCCCTTGCACCCTACTGTCCTTGGCCTTTTCCTGGCAAAGATACGGGAGCGGTTTGCCATTCCCTTCTCCAGGCCGAAGGTCCCCATTTCAAAAGAGGGAAGACAGTCGAGTCTGCAAACTCTCAGCCAGGGAGTAAACTCGAGAACATGTTATTAAAAGGATGATATGTGAGCATATAGAAAGGGAAGCAGTGATCAGGGCCAGCTCCTGTCAGACCACTTGGTGGTGTAGGGAGCCAAGTTGCTAGACTGGGGAAGGCTGGAGAAAGAGCATCCGTCCATTTGCCAGGCATTTGATAAGAATTCTTCCGGTTCTCATGGAAATGATGGAGGGATGTGGGCTAGCTGGCAGTGGCGAGGTGCTTTCAGAACCAGGTCCAAAGAGCTTTCATGAATGATTCCGTGACAGCTTGGAAGGGCCTCTGTGAAGGCCTGCAGGGATCTTTGGTTAGCCAGAAATCAAGACTTCGATGGCAGGGATGGCACCGTCATCACATTTGCAGATGACGTGAACTGGGGAGAGAATTCATGGATTCACTGATTTTACACCTAGAGATCCCCAAATCCAACCCCCTCATTTTGCAGATGAGGTAACTGAGGCTCAGAGAGGGGACTTGCCCATGGTCACAGCACGGCTAAGGTCTTTCTGACTCCAAATTCAGCGCCCTCCCCAGGCTGCCTCTTCGTTTAATATGAATTTAATATGGCTTACAGTCAGGGTCCAAAAGATCTCAAACACCCCTAGAATGTTGGGCAAGATCAAATAAGAGGAAAGTGAATAGAGATGGACTCAGAGGCTTCTAAGTGTGTAAAAAGCACCCCCTTCCTGAGCACAGGATGGAGGAGGTGTGGGCACATAGAAGTTCCAGGAAAGAAACAGCTGCCAGTTGCAGTGGACCACAAGCTCAATATGTGGCATCATGGAAAAGACACTGGGCTTGGAATTGAGGAAATGGTGCTTGAACTCTGGCTCTGACATTTGCTATGAGCAAGTTCTTTCCCCTGAGATTCCACTTAAAAATGGGGCCATGACCCACCTCCTGGGCTTGTTGAAAAGGAAGTGATTTGCAAACTTTTAGACACTAGAGATGAAAAATGATGGTCACAGTATGGCAGCGGGTGTGGTCCTGGGCCCTTAGGAGGGTGGTGCCCGCCCCTCTGGCCTCTGCTCTGCCCACACCCCACCAGAAGGGTTGCGTCCAGTGGTGGGTGCTATGTGCCATGACATGGAGAGGCTGGAGAGGGTCCAGGGGAGGGCAGCTGAAAGGCGCCAGAGGAGAACGGGGGCTGTCTTCGAGTAAGAGAGGCTACCTCGGGAGAAGGGCTCAGCTTAGCTCTGCTTGCCCCTGCCCCCTCCCCCGCCCCGGCAAAACCAGAAGTAGCTGGGAAGATGGAGTGAGGCAGATTTCACCGTATGAAAGGGGGAGATTGCTAAGTCTTGGCTCAGTCCACTAGTGGGACGCGTGGGCTGCCCCAGGAGATGACGGCCGTCCGAACGACAATGACCATCACCATTGATAGGTTCAGAGCAGGGGCTGCACCTGGATTTCATCAGCAATAATAGCAAACGTTTCTCTGGTGCCCACTGTGTTCCAGGCACTGGGCCAAGGCTCAGAACAACCCAAGGAGGTAGGTGTTACCCCATTTTTCAGATGGGGAAACTGAAGCAGGCAGAGGTTAAAGTGACTTGGCCAGAGGTCACCCAGTGAGCAAGCGTCTGAGGCAGGCTTTGAACTCGGGTCTTTGTGACTTCAGGTGCGATACTAACCACTGGGCCATCCAGCCGCCTCCTGAAGCGGTTGGATTAGATGGTTCTAAGGTGTCCTTCCGATCAGCTTCAGGGCCCTGGCGGTGGCTGAGCTTCCCCACGGGAGGCATGGAAGGATCTGGAGCTACTTCCAGGGGTCACTCACCAGTGTTGACTCAAAGGGTCCCGCCCCCCGCCATGGGCCACTCAACGTGTCTACACCTGTGAGCTACAGAAGAGCTGGGGGGGAGGGGGGCAGGCACTTTCCAGCCTCCAGACCCAACTGGAATATCGGAGGACGGTCCTGCCTCCTGAGGCCCTCAGCTGCCTCCTGGCCTGCCCTTCCCTCCCAAAGGAGACGTGAGGGCTTGAGGACACATCTCACAGCTGCCTGGAGAGGCTCAGAGGGTGCGGGGTCAGGAAGGCCTTTGTTCTTTGGCTAATGCCCCCCACCTCATCCCACTCCAGTGTCAGAAGTTTCTAGCTGGGAGGGATCTTGACCATCTCATTGAACCCCTCTCCCCATTTTATGGAGGAGGAAACTGAGGCCCAGGGGAGGGATTGGCCCAGGAAGTTGAGTGGCAGATGGCGGAGTTGAGCGCCGGCTTCTGCCTGCCATCCGGGGCCAGCAGGAGGGGCAGGAAGGGCAGAATCAGCCCCATCACTCACCCAGTTGTTCCCCGCCCCCCCCCCCCGACTCCTGCAGGGTGCTGGTGGACTGCGTGCCCCTGGTGGACGTGGAAGACATGATGATCATGGGCAAGAAGCCGGACCCCAAGTGCGTCTTCACCTACGTGCAGTCCCTTTACAACCACCTGAGACGGCATGAGCTGCGTTTACGGCAAAAAGAACTCTAGGGCGTCCCCGTTGTCCCCGTGTGCCTGCCCCCAGAGCAGAGGAGGCCCTCCCCTGCCCTTCTCCCCCCATGTGTGGATAAAGAAAGGCTCACAGGACAGCACGCTCCTCCCTGGCACCAGCACCCCCTCACCGCACCCCTGCCCCACCCCAAGCTCCAGCGCCCCGCTACTCACAGCGTTTCACGGTGTTTTTATAAATTATTAGTTCTCAGCCCGCCTGCCTTGTCCTTGGACAACCACCCAGGCTCCTGACACGCAGGAGGAGGGGTTTCCTTGATGGGTAGTGAGTTCCTTGTCACCCAGAGTAATCAAACAGGCAGCTGGGCACCCCATAATCCGGGGTCAGTCTGCAGGCGGCATAGGTGCCCGACTTGCGAGCCAGGAAGGCTTGGTGACAGCCATTCATCAGAGTAAAGGCTGGCACAGGGCCTTCCAAGCGTCATCCACCCAACCAACAGGCAAAGGAGCTGGGATTTGCTTAAGGTCATGCAGCTAGTCAGTGTCAGAGCTATGACTTGAACCCAGGACCACTCTCTTCAGGGCCCCGAGACCTCAGCCTGGACGCCCATTCTATGCCAGCCCCACCCCACTGACTTCCACAGTGGCCTCAGGGAGCCCCCAGACACACACACTGGACTGTGTTGGGCCCCTGGGGGGTTATGTGCAGCCCCCCTCCCACACTACCCCCCCATGGGCTTCTGCCCAGTCCCTCAGTCACACCTGCAGAGAGCTGGATAAGGGCCGAGTGGGATCCTGATGGGGACACCGGGTTTTGACCCCGGTCACAGGACCATCACTCTAGAGTTGGAGGGGCCCTCAGGGGCCTTTAATTCCAACCCTCTCCTTTTACAGAGGCCAGAGGTGGAGAGACTTGTCCAAGGTCACTCAGGCTGAATCTTTTTTTATTTTTTTTGGAGGCAATCAGGGTTCAGTGACTTGCTCAGGATCCCACAGCTAGTAAGTGTCTGAGGCTGGATTTGAACTCATAGTCACGAGTCCAGGGCTGGTGCTGTATGCGCTGCCCCTGAGACTGAATCTTGATGTGGTATCTGGGGGTTGGGGGAGCTGTGAGGAGGGGATGCCAGTCACCTTAGCCTGAGTATTCCAGCCCAGTTTCCAAAGTCCCTGGTACCCCCTGGGGCAGTGACGAGAAGAAGGGCGAGGATACAGACACACACGCATTGCCAGTTGGAATAGGGGCCTTTACTGCATAAGGGAAAGGGAAAAACCTCAGCCCTAGCCTCCACACACCCCCTGGCCTGGCCCCAAGGACACAGCCATCTGCCCTCAGCAAGAGTAACCCTTTGAGCTGAGAGCTTCATCCTGTCCCTGGTGGCTGGACGTGGGGGCGGGAGTGCCGTTGACAGGGTCCCAATGCCACCCATGCAGACCAACTTGCCACTTCTCCTGGACTTGAGACATTCGCCACTCTCCCACTCTCCCACCCCCAAGGGGCACTGCCAGGCAAGTTGAGGTGTGTGGGTGGCCCCAGCAGTGTGCCAGCCCTTCCCTTGGGGGCATGGGCATGGCCCTGGCACCTGAGCTCCAGTTAGGAAGCCCGGCATGCGATGCCATTTCACAGCTGCCGGCTGGGGTGGGAGCCACATTCCCCGGGCCTAGAGTTCCTGGCGTGTGGGCATTGAATCCCCATGGGGCACTGGATTGGGTGCCTCTGCTTCAAAGGGCCTAGCTGGGGCCTTCTGGTACTCAGGAGGTACGAGGGCATCTGGGCTCGATTTTCGATAGAAGCCCAAGTCCTTCAACATCTGGTTAATCTCCTCCCGGGTCATGTCATGGAGTGGGATTCTCTGTAAAGGAGCAAAAAGGTCAGAGTGGCCCCCAGAATGATAGGAATCCACAGACCAGACTCATGACTCACCCAGAGCCCCCACCAGCTGTGCTAAGTCTCCACAGGGAGGTCCTTCCCCACCCCCAGGTCTCACCTCAAGCTCCTCATACTGGTAACCCAACAGCACCAGCTCAGGGTCGGCTCCAGGGAGGTATTTCGTCACCAGGTTGTGGCTGGTGGTAGAGTTAAGGAAGGAGTAGGGGGAGGGAGATAGAAGAGCTTGGGGAGTGGGAGGCCTGCTGCTGCCCCACCCTAGTCTGGAGGGGCCTCAACTGGGGAGTAGAGAGGTTAGCTGCCCCCTCAGCCCCATCAGAAGTACAGTAAATGGAGAGAGGCAGAGCTGGCCATCCCATTGCTCAGGTCAGAGGAATGAGGGGCTGCTAGCTACCCTTGCCCCAATCAGAGGCGCTGTAAGTGGGAGGCCAGGGGGCTAATTCCAAGGGGACCCGGGGGAAAGACCCTTTGCCCTAGTCAGATTTTTGCCTTTATCCCAAGCACCCCTGCCCCTCATTAGAGGCCTTCTGGGGAACCATCCATCTGGTGCCCAAGGCTGTCCTTATAGAGCCTGGGGATGAGGGGGGTGGTCCCTGAGGGGAACTGAGAGTCAGCAGCTGCCAAAAAAACAGGGTCAGTAAGAGCTGTCCAGGGCTCCTGCTGACCCCTGCCACACCTCCAACACACCCAGAGACCTCCTGCTGAGAAAAGATACTAGTAAGGGATGTCCTGGGTGACGAAGAGTTTCACCTGGAGGAAGGAGAAGTGGAAGTGATCATTAACAGCCCCGAAACATTCCCCACCCCAGCTGCTCAGTGAGCCCCGTCTCCTCCAGCCCACCCCCAGCCAGGACCCTACCTCCTTCAGCCGATTCAGCTGTCATCCTCCGCAGGTCTGCCAGGGACAAAGCTGCAGGTCAGCCGCTGGCCTCCCCAAGCCCCACCCCAGCAGCCGCCCAACGTCTGAGGCTTCTTATAAGGGTGGCCCAGGACCAGATGAACACCCATTGCAGTTATTTTTAACTCTCTGGTTGCCATGGCAACCCAGCGTGCCATCACTGGTTTCCAGGGAAACACAGGGAGGGAGGGGTGCCTTCCTCAAGGGCAGCATCTATGCTGTGGGAAAGGAGCTCAGTGATGAGAGTAATGGGCCAGGGATTGGGGGGAACCTCACTCTGCCGATGCAGGGGGGTACTTCTCTAGTCTCAGGGCAGGGGGTTCTTTGCCTGAGGCCTATGGAGGACCAGGGGTGCAGGGGAAGGGAAGGTCTGTGAAGCCATCTACCTAATGTGGCGCAGCTAAGGCCCGAGGTCATTGTTTTTTTGCAGGATCAGCACTCTTTTCCTAATATCAGAGGAGGAAATTGAGACCCAGAGAAGAGATTTGCTCATAGTCATTTGACTAGTGTCAATGCATAGATGGGGGGGGTGACACCCAATCCACTTAAGGGGAAACTGAGGCCCAGAAAAGGGCAACGCCTTGCCCAAGGTCACAGAGATCAAGTGCATAGCAGAACAAGGATCTGAACTTCTGGCTTCTAACTCCAAGTCCAAGGACTGGCCTGACACCTTTTTATACACCCCCACCCCATACCTAGGTGAGGGCACTCAGTAGACTTTAATGAGTAAAGAACCATGCCCCAGGCTGGATTCAGAACTCCCTTGAACCCCTGTAAGAGGGGATTCTTGAGGCCCAGCCTCATAGGAGACAAATGACCCCATGGGTGCCCACCAGCTCCCCTCCCCACCCCCATCCCATCATTTTGGTCTGAGCATTCAACCCTGGAAAGAACCACAGGTGCAGAGTGGGCACCTTTGGGGGGGAAGGGGAAGGCTGAAGTGTCGGCAAGGATGGGGCCCCATGGGGACTTCCTGTGGGGAGGAAGGCCCTAGGCAGGGTCACCATATGCTCCCTCCACCTGCCTCAGAGACTGGTCCCTCCCCCAGGGCCTGGTTCCATGCTCTCCTCTCCCCTAGGCAGGGAGGCTGGAGAAAAGTGGGGGCTGGGGGGGGCTTTTTTCTAGCCCCATGGAGAGATGGAGCTGCCCACTGCTGCCTCTTCCCCTCCCCTCCCCTCCCCTCCCCTCCCCCAGTCCTTTCCCTGCACTCAAGTACTAGAATAAAAACATAGTGCCTGTCACTTCATGGTACCCTTGATTCACACCTGTGAGGGACTTCACTGGCCATTCAGGGCCAGAGAAGGACAGTGACTTGCCCCAGGTCACACAGCTAGTATCAGAAGTGGGATTCGAACACAGATCCTCTGACTTCAGAGCCAGCCACTGTGTGGTCCCCTGAAGTATACTTCCTGCCCCACGTCTCCTGACTCCAAGGCCAATGGCAACGTCCGTAAGCGGCCTTAGAGCATAGAACGGCAAAGCAGGAGGGACTCCTCCACATCTCCTTTCCCAGGATCACCCAGTGAGTTCAGTGGCTAGACCAGAGGTCTCCTGAACTTGCAGAGAATGACTGCTCCACACACTCCCCGAGGCTGTATCCTTGGACCTGTGGAACTGTCCAGCTCAGCATGGGCCCTTCCTCATCCCCAAGGCCTTCCCTCGCAGCCCCTGCACCTCAAAGCTAGGGTTACTAAGTCAAGGGATGAAAACAGAAACCCCCAGAGAAGAGATCTCCGGGCTTCAGAGCAGTTGAAAGAGCAGTAGTCCACAGAGAGGAAGAGGAAGACCCCAAGCTCCAGAGGGGCAGGAGAAGAGAGGAACTGGAGGCAGAGGAAGAGGCTGGAGTCAAAAGCCGTAATGAGAGGCTTCTGGGATGGGCTGAGAGGAGTGGGAGGTTGAGTCAGAAGAGAGAAAGGAAGGGGGGCGGATCTGTTTGGAAAGGAATGGGAGGGGGTGGAGTTGCGTGGGAGTTGTATATGAGAATCAGAGCCCAGGAGGGCAGTGGGGGCCTCAGGGAGCCATGATAATGTTGTTGTTGAGGGAGGGGAGTACCCAGAGAATCAGGCAGGAAAGTAGAGGGATGTTGTGGGAGCGGTTTCTGGGAGCGGAGGGATGGGGGAGGGATGTCAGGCGGCTCTTCAGTCCCGAGTGGGGGAGAGGGAGGGGAAAATGAAGTCCAGGTGGCGTTCTGGTGGGATGGGGGCATACTGCGGGGGGGGGGCTGGGAGGCCCAGGGAGGAGTGGGGGGCGGTGTTCTGGAGGGACGGTGGCATATTGCGGGGGGCGGGGGGGTTGGGAGACCCAGGGAGGAGTGGGGGGCGGTGTTCTGGAGGGACGGGCTTATACTTCGGGGGGCTCGAGTTCCCCAGGAGGAGTGGAGGGCCCCGGGGTGGGATTTTGGAGGGACGGGAGCACTCCGCAAGGGCCAGGGAGCCTCAGGGAAGGATGGGGACCCCTCCCAGGGGTCAGCCAGGGTCCTAGAGGGACGAGGAAGGCTCACGGAGCCAGCCTCGCAGGGGGGCTGGGTGCAGGGATGAGTCCCCCTTACCTCCACTCTGCCCCGGGCCAAGCCACGAAGCTTGCTCCAGTCGGGCTGGAAGGCGACAGCGAAGAGTCCGGGGAGGAGAAGGAGCGGCAGCAGGCGACGCATGGGACCGGCTGAGGGGGGACCAGGGCCGGGGGCCGGGGTGAGGAAGGGGGCAGGGACTGGGGTAGGGGTCCGGGCAGGAGCCGAGCTTGGCTTGGCGTGACCAGCCTGAATGGAAGCAGATGGAGAGAGGATGGAGAAGGGAGGAGGGGGCTTGCCGGGGAGGGGGGTGCCACGTCATAGTTCCGGGAGGGGGGTGGGGCCAGGGCCAGGCCGGAGAGACACCGCCTTCAGGCCATCTGGCCCTTCTGAGCGCCCTCTGGTAAGCAGGGCACGGCTGTGGGGAGCCGTTCCTTCAATCCCCAGCCCAGAGCTGTCTCCCTCCTAGCGCCCGGTCCCCCGGCCTGCAGACCCTCATCCCTGCACGGTCCCCATCCTGGGCCTTCGTCCCTATACTGGAGCCACCCTCCTGGACCCCCATCCCAGACCCTAACCCTACCTCCATCCCAGCTTTTCAATTCTACCCCGATCCTAGCCCCCTCAGCCTAGCCCCAACATGCTAGCCCCCCATCCTAGCCCCCTCAGCCTAGCCCCAATATGCTAGCCCCCCATCCTAGCTCCTTCAGCCTAGCTTCCTCAGCTTAGCCCCCTAGCCTGACCATCTCAGTCTAGCCCCCTTATCCTAGCCCCCCCCAGCCTAGCCCCCCAG